AAATAACTTCCTAAAGCAAAAAAAAACCCAACGTATATAGAGGTCATCATCCCATATATTCACAGAATGCTTCAAGTTCCCTTGAAAATCCCAGTTTTGCTAATCTCTGCCTCTCCCTGGACAAAGTAGGGAGTGCACACACATGCCAAGGTGGAGGGCAACCTCCTACACAGACACTCACACACACTTAAGATGTAGGATCCTTTGATTGCCATTTTTTTGTGAAAAATAAGAGCTATGACATAGGCCAAGGGAGGTGGGGAGGAAATCTTACTGTTAACAGTTCTATTTCTTTCTTACCTTCTGATATCACAAGACTTTCCCTCTCTTTTCATATCCTTCCCTACCGCACAAAATGTTTCCTGCAATAGGTTTTACATTTGCCATTTTTCAGTTCCACGGCATTACCAGGCAACAGAAATGTTAAGATGCAACACTGTTCTTTTTTCATTGTAAATAATTTGTAGTTTCTTAGGTCTACAAAACGATTGGAAGTGGCATTAGCTCTGAAGGTTAGCCTTCAAAAAATAAAACTTTTCCCTTTACAAGATTCCAGAAACTGAGGCTAGAGAAAATTTTGTTTTCTTACTATTTTCACTGGAGAGCTTCAGTAAGAGTCAGAGGCAGTCACCACTTCCTATTATTTGAACTTTGGCATATTTGTTTCTACTTCCTGAAAAGAGATGGTGATTCCACTTTCCCCAAAAACTCGTTTTCCTTCCCAAAATGAGAAATGAAAGATGGTAACTATTCTGAAGTGGCTAAATTGTGAGGTTTCTATCCAGATAGAAACGGTTTGGTGACAGGAACAGAAAAAACCTTGCTAAATATATTGGGAGAAAATAATTATTAAATGAAACGTGTCCTAAAAGTCACTGCCATGTCTAATCTGTAAAATATCCAACTGAAGGAACAACCACTGAAATATACACATACTTAGTTTTCCCAGTAGCAAAGGGACATTCCAATTCTTTTCATCATCAAAATAATACACATATATACACACACAGAGCAGTGCCCAGTATTTGTAATCCAGAACATCACATGGCACCACAGCAGCAAAGTGTTACGCACCACAGTTCCTTCCCTATCACAGACCCAATCTACATGCCTATCAAGTGATGTTTTTTCAGTAATTACTTTTTGGTCACACAACAGATGAGTTCCAGGGCTCTAAGACCATGAGATAAAGAGCTAAAATTAAACTTGACCCTACATATCAAAGCCAGCACTGTAATTTCAAAGTCAAAGTTTAAAAGAAGTCAAACCATGGTATGATAAACAATCAGCTGGGAGTTGTGTAGAAACAGCACTGCACAGGCTCTAACTGTGCACTTTCATATGCCACCATATTTGCTTGAAGGTAACAATAATCATCTGCTTCATTCTTTAAGACACTAATTTCATCTTAAATTCATGTTTCCATAGTATGCTCACTTACTCAATCAACCATAATCAATGCCTGCCCCTAAATCATTTAATATTTTTAGAGCAATCCCAAGACCAAGTAATTGCAAATACAAAATATTAGTTGATTTGAATTAGAAAGTTTGTTATCATGGGGTTCAAGCAACAACTTCTGCAATATGAAAATAAGGCTCTCCCTTCTCAAAGAAGTCACTATTTCTATCAGAATAGTGCCTTCTTTCAAATAACTGTGGAGATCAATCTCTTTTTGATCTGCCAACTCGCAGCTACTTTCGATATGTAATTCTAAATTATTCAATTAGTCACAGAGATAGCACCATCAAAGAAAGAACACAGATGAGAGGAACACTAGAATTTAAACCAATTGCACATATCATATTCATGATATATAACTACAGTATTTAGAATGACAAAGATCTACTGCCTGCAAATTTTAGTTCTTACATGTCCTCTTACCCTCTTTCCTAAAATAAAGCAAAATCAAATAATCATGCTGCACGTTTTAAAGCTGTGGTGGGTTGACCCTAGCCAGCAGTTAGGCATCCACACAACTCCACCCAGTACAAAAAAACCTTTAAATATCCAAAGTATCCTACAGATTTATATATTTCTGTATCAACAAAAGCTGACTGCAACTTTTCAAACTATGGTATCTCTTTGCATTGTAGAGAGGCAAGTTCTGAAACAGTATCTTCATACCTCTTGCACAGCAATGACACTATTGACACCTTTAGGAGTAGGAGTCTCCCAGGAGTACACGACAGAGCAGCTCCCTCCTCCACCCTAGTGCTCCAGAAATAGACAAGTCATTGCTAGAAAGCATTTTTCAGAAAGCAGAGTTTTCTAACACTTAATAACAAGAGAACAAGGAGGGGAGAAGCAGTTGAATCCTACTAAACTGAATTTCAGAAGCTTAAAGAGATAAACCAGGTTGAGAATTTTTAAAATAAAAGTGAGTATTTGTACTTCATGGATCTATAAAGCTTTATAATCAGGATCAAAATCAAAGTCTAGTTTATACAAATGCTTATTACTCAAACTATCTCTAAATAACTATCCCTCAGGGATATGTATTCTCAACTTTAATAAAAGAAAACTAGACATAGCTAGGTAAATATACTGAATAAATGTGTCCCACTTCCTATCCCCACAACCCATTTTCTCCTGCTCACTTAAACCGAGCAACACTCATCGAGACAACTATGTTTTCCACTAGCTCTTTCGCTTCTTCTTGAAAGAAGGAAACTACAGTCCCTTTGGTTTCTGCGTAGCTATCAGGAAGACCGCCTTTTTTTTTTTTTTTTTTTTTTTCCCCCCCAAGCTGCAGTGATAGCTAGATTCCTCTGGGACAGCTCTCCCGAGCCCCAGGACAGGGGGGCTGAATGCGACCGAAGAGAGCCAGCACCACGACCCGCCTTCCACATCTGCCCATTCGAGAGTGTCAACTCCATTAACCCTCTGGGGCGGCTCTCCCAAACTTTTGCGGTGAACAGCATCATATGCTAATTCTTACTTCATCGTGGAGCAAAAGATGACAAAAAAGGAATGAAGGACAACAGCACCTCCATTGTTAATAAATACAGAGAATATACATACTGATTAGGCTTTACACGCCTTTCTAAATTAACAGTAAAATACAGTTTACTGCAGTGTTCAAGTTGCCTGGAAACTTCGGAGAAGCAGGGACTCCCTATTAAAAATAAAGCTCTTCCCCAACACAACAACCTACAGCAGAGCATTTCTGTTGTATCTTGAAAGGTCACATATATTTCACGTGTTGAACTACTTCTCCAGAGGGTCGTCAAGTCACTACGGAGCTACACGAAGATTCATAAACTGAAAAGCCAGATAACTCCGTGATTACGTGTTGGTACATTCCCCTCCCTACAATTCCGGCATTTCACCGAGGTCAGAGAAAAGCTGTCACATAAAACGACATCATTTAGGACTGGAACAAACCGCCCCGCCAACACTACCATAGAAGTCAAACACAGTCTTAAATAACGTTTTAAAGAGAGAATGGCTAATCTCCTTCAAAAGCGTAAAATCCCACCGGGAAGTGGGACAGGGGAGCCAGGCACGCAGCAGAAGTCCAAGTGCAGTACTTTCTTCAGAAATAAAAAAAAAAGGTCCCCGCCCCCATCGCACACTCTCCTGCCCATATCTTCCAGCTTATCTTTTTTATTTTTCCCCACACCGAGATCTCCCTGCTGGTTCCAACCAACTCTGCGGGACCCCCGCGCCCAGCGCTGTTCCCCGGCCCCCCCCGCGGCCCCGGGCCCGCCGCTCACCGTTCCTCAGCTCGTGCTTCACCGTGAGCAGCGGCAGCTCCGCGTCCCCCGAGGGTCCCTCCATGGCCCCCGCCCCTGCCGCTCCGGGGCGATGTCACCTGGCCCGAGCCGGGATCTATTTGCCAGCGGCGCTCCGGGCGGCAGGAGCCATGCAAGCGCACTGGGGGCTGCCGCTCTCCCCTCCGCCGTGTGGAAAACGGGGAGGGGAAGGAAAAAAAAAAAAAAAAAGACTAAGCCTCACCACCCAACAACAAACAGTTATTAAAATCTAGGGAGGCACACGCACGACGGCTTCCCTCCCCCGGCGCTCAGAGCCAGCCCATGTCCTTGCGGCTCCCCACCCCCGGGCTCCGGCCGCCCTCCCCGCCCGACAGCGCGGAGCGGAGCCGAGCCGAGCGGAGCCGAGCGGAGCCGAGCGGAGCCGAGGAGCGCCGAGCGTGGCCGAGCGGCGCCGGGCGCGCCGGGATAGGCTGAGGGCGGCGAGGGGCGGGGGCGGAGGGGGCGCCGCGGGAGCGGCTCGTGCTCAGGCGCTCGCGCCCCCTCCCTGCCCGGGCCGGGCGCTCATTGGCCGCGCGCGCCCGCGAGCCGCGGCTGCCGCCGGGCAGAGAACGCTCCGCGCGCGCCGCCCCCGCCCTTCCGCCGAGCGCCGCGCGCGCCCATTGGCTCGGCGGCTGCGCCAACCGCCGGCCCCGCCCGCGGCGGCCCCGCCGCTGCCTGCACTCCCGGCGCCTGTTTGTAAACATTCCCGCCCGCCGCTCCCGAGGGCCCCCACCCCGGGGGGCGGGCGCTGGGCCGCCGGGAGGAGAGGGAGCGCGGTGATTGACCGCCGGAGCTGGCAATCACCTGAGCGGGAGGCCGTGGCGCCCTTCCTCGCGGTACGGGCCGGTTCCACCGCACCCGGCGGGGGGGAGCGGCCGTGAGCTGACCCACTCGCAGTGGCGGGGCGGGGGGAGCGGGGCTCCAGCGTGGCGCGGGGCGGGCGGGATCGCGGATCGGGGAGCACCCGCAGGGGATGCGGCGGGACAGGGAGTAGCGAGGCACAGCCGGGGCGGGTGAGGTCCTCGCAGGGCCCGGGCCGCCCGCCGAGCCCCCGCCTCCCCGCACGGGCGGTGCGTGCGGGGCGCGGCGCTGGCGCGGCGGGGCCGGGGAGCCGCGGTCGTGGGCGCAGCGCGTACCCGGTATGTCCGCCCGCAGCCCGGCCGTGCGGGCCGCGCTCGGGGCACCGCGCTCGGGGCGCGGGTGAAGGGGCCCCGCGGCGCGGGGATGGGGCTCCTGCCGAAGAGACGCCCGGGCCGAGCCTGGCACCGCCTCCGATCCCGGCCGGGCCCTGGGCCGGGGAACGGGCGGCGAGCGGAACCGCCGTCCTGGGAGGTTGAAGGGGCCGAGCGCACTGGGAGTTAAAACAGCCTTGACGATCGCTGGGACGTTCCAAAGCTTGGTTGGTTACTCCAGTTTAGTAGGTGCCTGTGAGGGGGTTGCTTGTTGTGAGGTGGGATTGGCGAAGTTGCTGGGTAGGCACATCCCTGTGTTCGGTTCACCTTGCACTGGCTGTGGCGTGTTCAGCTGGTCCCGCCAGCTGCGAGAGGGACACTCTGCTCACAGCGGTCTCCGAGTCCCTTGTTAAAGTTCAGACGCATCAGACCTGTTCACCTCAGTTAAGCCTCAGTCTGTTATGTTTTGGAGGCAATCTGGTATGTCCTCATTTCCTTGAGACAGATAACACAGTCGCTTTTCTCTCCATTTCTTATTTACAGTAATGTCTGACTTGTAGCTCTTGAATGGCGTCTCTTTTATCCTTACCACAAGCTGCTAATTGCCACTGCCAGGTCGCATACAAGCATCAGCGTTCACAGAGTCTAACTCAGATACTTCAAAGATCAATGAAATAAAATGTCGTGTTAATCCTTTATTCCCATTCCAGTATTATGTGTTTGTGTTTGTACACATATATATATGTATTTAAAATGCGTGCACATGTATACATAACACAGATTTCTACAATTTCATGTGGAGAGATTGAGTTGGGCTAACTGAAGTTGGTAAGTGCTTTCTACTTCAGAATGGTTTAAATACCAAACATAGCTTTTACGGCACTTTTGAGATTGTTTTCTTCCCACGAATTAAAATTACTATCTAAGAGTTTCACAGTATTTCAGGTAAAACTGTTGAAAGTGTTTTCAACCAAGCACTGCAGCTGTTCTGTTGAGGTATCTCCCTATAGCATATTGTACACCCATAACTTCACTGAAAATTTCTGCCTTTCCAATAGTATTATATCAAGCCTATAAATATAGAAACACTCATCTCAGGAGATGTTTTCAAACTCAAAAATAATTGATTCTCTATCTTTTATCACTTGATTTAGACGCTCACTATTGCAGAGAAAGGAAATGTTAAATCAGTATATTATTAAACTATAAAAGGGAAAATAATGAAAATACTAATCTGATGAACTTAATTGTTAATTTTTTCTATCTTTGTAACTGTTGGCTCCTTTGTACAACTACTGGGTAGTGTCAGATCTACTTCTTCTTTACAGGGTGTAACAACCACTTCTGAATATTCTGTGTCCCAGATAATAGATTTTAAAGAGACTATTACTGTATTTCATCCACTGGCTCTACTAGCCTACTCTTGGACTAACTGTCCCTGGCAGCCTCAGAAGAGAGAAACTGAAATCTGACTCCACTCTGTTCCTTACTAGCGCTCAGTGTGAGTGGAGCTGGCATTGAATCCAGTAGTTGTTAATAGTCTTGGTTTCAGATGTTCGTAGCTTGACAGACTGTATCTGCTTATATGCCTCACACTGAAACCTTCTGTTTTCTCCTTTCAAATTTCAGCTAAAACAGCTGTAAAAAATTAGCAACAACCCTAAAACATCAAACCAAGGGTATTGATCCATGCTGATCATGCACAGAGCAAGACACGGGGATTACCGTGTATGTTTCAGTTTAAGGTAACTGGGCTTGGAAAGTACCATTGCATGAACTGAAAGTTCTTTATCACTGAGGAACCCCCTGACTTACTGGCAACAGGGTCACTCCTTTAAAAAAAAAAAAAATCAGATTTTTTACGTAACAGTTTCTCCTCTGTTAAAATATTTTTGCACAGGGATTTTTGTGTCACATCCAGAAACAGCAAAGCATCCCTACTGAATGTTTGGAAAGAATCCTGCCTTTTGACAGACAGAAGAGCTATACTTGCACTGAAATACTAAACCTTCTGTCACTAGTCCATGAGTACTAGACTATGCTCAATTTATCCTTTCATCTGAACTTTTCGGAGCAGTGGAGGGTTAAACTCGGTTGTATACTTGACTTAAGAGTGGATCTACCTTGAGTGGAATGGTCCAGGCATAGTGGGCTGGTTACATTACCTTCAGCACATTTGTCTTGGATACAGTGTCACATGGCTTTGTGGGTAGCTGGGACAGAGTTCTGTAAGCCCTAAGGGTAGATAGGAATTACAGGTAGGTGGAAATATACAGGCTACATCTGTACCAGAAAATAAAACCAATTAGGACTCACTCTGTAGGTGTCAGGGAAGTGGCATGATGTAGCATGGTGCAGCTGAATTCTTTCCTCTTCAAAACGGTGGCTTTTCCCACACTGCCTCCTGGATTTGTACAGATTGCATACTATTAATGAGCTGTGCTAGACTCCAGCTTGTATGAAGACATTGCCTGGAAGAATACTAGTCAGGGACCCAGCCATTCCTGAAACCATGCCAGCAGTTGGAAGTATGGATAGTCATGTGCCGGTGCTCAGATTGTGCCTTTGTCCCATTTAAATCACTAACACAGTCGCAGAGTCAGATGAGGGGGTAAATTTGGCTTGAGCCTGCAGCCAAAGCAGCATGTGGAAGTACAGGAACAATGATGGGCTACAGACCCACAGGGAGTACAGACTGGTCTGTAAGAGATTTCTTATAGTTTGGAGGAGTAAAACCACCCTTGATGTGTAAACTGTGCTTTAAGTAGTGCAGCTCGGAGTGCAATTTAACTGACTGAAAATGTTATTTGCATTTTAAATACTTTTATGCATGTGCTGTGACACTGAAGAATACTATTTGCAGTATGTGCACTTAATAAATTACCCCTCTGATATTAAAAGGAAAAATATTGTGTGTTAAAATGATTAAAAGCTATGGGGTGGCACAGAGCTACTCTTGCTCCATAGTGTAAATATTTTTGGGGGTTTTAAGTAGCATTTTCATATTATGTGCATGATAAGAGCATGATAAGAGCAACTGACAGGTCAATCAACCAACAGTTCAGTGTTTGGGCTGAGTGTGTGCTGAGTTTGGGAACATGGAGCAACACCATTCTAAAGATAGATGTCCCTTCTCTACCCCACAACACAACTGTTCAAAAATATGTGTATTTACTTGCCATTCCTAATTGTGAAAAGAAGGAGGAAAAAAAAAAAGCTGGGAAATACCCACATGGAAAGATATTATTGAACTTTATTTAAGAAACAGTGTCACAACATTTTCTTTTTGGTTCTAAAAGAGGTGGTGTGCTAAGCTGGTTTGAGGGCTGAGGTGAAATTGAAATGCTCAGTGTACAGACTTCTGAAGGGAAATGAGAGAGAAAAAGAAGAAAATGAGTGCTGTAGCTGCATATTTCCAGGGTGTCACTACTTCACAGTTTTGAGGTATTTGGTTTACTTCCTTGCTGAAGGGTAGCTGCATATGAAAATCGTAGTTTCTATGGAGCTCAAGTTGGAGGCATCTGGTGCTTTCTTACGGTCATTGAATTGTTACAGAAATAGGTGCTATTTTCAAAGGACAAATGTTGGAAAGCCAGATGATACAAAATGTTCCCCTTAATCACTCCATGGAGAACATGTGCACAGCAGGGAATAAAAAGGATCAAATTTTGGAAACCACAAAATGAATTTAGGGGAGGACTCACCTACAGATATGACATCAAACAGCTTTTGTGTGAGGTTTTAGTACAGTATTAGTTCTAGTTTTTAGTTTACATGTATTCTCTGTGATTTTTATCTTCTTATTTTAATCTTTAATTGAACATTTTGTGCTTGATGACTATCAGAAAAGTAGACTGGGTAGGTGAATTTGCTGTTAAAGGATTTTTATTTGAAACTGCTCTGGCCAACAGTTTTATCTCTCTAAAACCACCTAATGTTTTACCATGAAAGGAGAAGTTATGCAAAACATCCAAGCCTAATAATTCTCTTAACGGAAGTGGTACAACTCTGTCAGGAAATGGATCGTTTCTTGAAAGAGTGTGTGTAAGTGAAGATGTCTTGCTGATTCTAGGGTCCTGTTTCAGTATTAATTTCTCCACTAGTTGTTTATTTTTTCTTCAGTTACTGTACACTTTCAAAAGTTTAATAGTTAAAAATCCACATGGTTATAAAAGAGAAAAAAAATAAAAATGCTTGTTATGTTACTCAGTTTCTGATGAGGAAAAGGAAAATGAATGCACACTGTCTAGAGGGGAAAGAAAGCAGCACTATCCATTAAAACAGAAATAGGGCTATATTTCACTTTCTGATCTTCTAAAGCTGCTAAACTAGGCAGAGATGGAATTTCTAGTTAATACAAAGAATTGACTTTTGGATCCTAATCTTTACTCACAATAATTTGATTTTTTTTTTCAAAATTTTTGGAAAAAACACAGAGTTTTTATGTTCTACATAATGCTGTCATTAAACAGTTATACTGACTGAAGTCTGTTTGAACCCAAAATCCTTTTCAGAAGACTCACATGTGAATTCTCACTCTTTTGAAAATTTACTATAAACTTTGTAGAAGTGGACTTCAGAAAGGAGAAGCTAATCAAGGTGATCTGAAAGCAAGTGATAATGAAATTAAAAGCTTTAACTCATCGTGGAGACTATGGGTCCCCATGTACATTCTGATATCTGCAGAAGTTATGTCTGCTTTCTGCCCCAAAGAAGGAAGCATAAACATGAGAAAAAAAGTGTTTAAATAGCAGAGCTTTAAAATTCATTGTAGTTCTTAAAGAGAACCCATGGAAAAAGATGTAAATGAAAAGAAGTGCCACATAAAATGAAGGGGGAAAGACATTTTTTGAAAAGCATAGATGAAAGCTGTTAAGTTCATTTCCACAACTTGACATATTTAAAAGATATTGTATCTGTTAAATTATCACAGACCAAAAAGAGATTTATTGAAATGAACAGTATTGCAGAGATTCCTTTTTTCCTTTTCCCTTTACCTTGAGAAAAATTGTATGATTAGTGATTTTTAACCTACTCTTTTAAATTAAAGAAAATGAGATGTTTGCATGAGTTGAAATAACAGAAGAGAAAATCCTGAAATAAATGGATAAATTAAGAGAAATGTACTCTAGAGTCAGTTGGTGTTTCTCCTGGAGTTTGAAAGGAACTTAGATCTTCACAGAAAAATACACAAAAAACTCCCATTAATTTCAAGTACTGTATCAGG